ATATATATATATATATATATATGTATATATGTATATATATATATGTATATGTATTTGTGTGTGTCATTTTATATTGTGCTCACTGATCGATTGATCGATTGATTTCAATAATAATATATCTGTATGTGCATCTTAATCGAGTTTCAATAAGCAAAGTCGAACGGATCGTAACACTATATCCCTGAGATTTGTATTATTCTTTTGCATGACCAATTTGGTTATTTTGAAACGCTAATTTTGAACATTAAAGAAATAATTATGATTTGTACTATGGTTGATTGCTTGGTCTTTCGCTGGACTCACTTTAATTGAACGAACAACGATGTTTCTCTGCGTGTATTGTCTTATTTGTATTCTATATATAATATTATGTTAATGCTAGAGTTTTCAGCAGCACAATGCCGCTAATTGCTAGAAATGCCTCATTGCATATTTTGGCTGGAAGTATTTTTGTGTATACGATATATAAATATCTAGGGTATTTCGCCTTCGACAGCCAATTGCAAATAGGTTTTTTTGCTGCTTCTCGGTTATTCCTCTCCTTTTGGAATGAAAACAGCTTAGCTAAGGAAACAGACGAAACACAAAAGAAACAGAGGAGGGGAAACAGAACAGAGACAAACTTGTTGCGTCGATCGTCACCATAGTTGAACACCCCCAATACCCCCCTCCGCCCGGCTGTCCCGACACCTACCCCGATCAACCGCAACATATGTACACTCAGCCACACCCTCCCACACACACACACACAGCATACACACACAGCACACACACTCACACATGACGCATCGCATCGCATAAATTATTTTAAATTACTTTTAATTGGTAAAGTTTTTATTTTTTATTTGCTTTTTTTTTTTTTTTTTTGGGGTGCTTGATAATTTAATTGTGTTGCTCTTCTTGCGTTTTGTTAATTTGGCTGTAATCATAATTTGGGTGGAGTGTAATTTGATACTAGACCGACCAATAATCGAGTTTCAATTTCAATTTCAATTTGGTTTGATTTGATCGTGAAAGAGCTAAAAGATTTCAGATCCTGAACTTTTCTTAATCAATCAATTAAATATCAAGTTTTTCTGAATGACTTTTTATCATATTTTTCTTTGGTTTATTAACACTTTAAGAATGGAGTTCCCCTGTTTTTAATTTAGAAAATTATTAAGATCTTTGCGCAAAATAAAAATAACCAGAAAGAATGACAGACTTACACACACCGAAGATTAAATAACCTTGCAGACTGGAATCAAACGGACAATCTCTAAAGTTAATTATTATTCGAAAATCTACCCGATTATTTATATGGCAGATATATGATATAATCATCCAATGTTAAAGATTTTCAGTAGGAGATCTTGACAAACCACACAAAAACCATTGAAAATCGAAATATGTTTATTGCCTACAGCAAGAAGTCAAACAAATTTCATGAAGATAGCTTCAAGATTGAGCATCGGCATCACAATGCCGTTCAAGAATATATATATATATATATATATATATATATATATATATTCGTCTCCATCAATGCGTTACAAGTGTCAGCACAAAATTAGAATATCCTCTGCAAAGTGCATAAAAATAAAAATAAGAATAAAAATAAAAATAGCCACAATTGGATCTGTTCAACATAGCTGCAAAGTTAAATATGAAAGATTTGAAAAATGCAATATTCATGATAATCTGAAGCAAACCGAACACTCAGCAAAACATAAATCTTCGACTTATTTATTTTTATAAATTGAGCTGATTTATTGAATTAGCCATATATATGCCGTTAGTATATTTAGTTTCTGTATTTTGTGGACTTGTTTCATATATCGTTCAACAGTTCTTTCAATATTTTTACTGAGTAATCGATAACGATTCCTTGCAGCTCCTTCCTAGCAAAAAACTTGATCAGAATTATCTTTATACAGTTGGAGTCATATATAGTTTCTTCTGCTCTTTCTTTGAATCTCTTTGGGATTTATGCAGGGTATATGCGGCTTCAGTATTCGAGTATTCTGTTGCATTCTGCCAGCATGCGCCCACCTGTCCACCTGTCCACCTGCCCCCGCCACACCCGCTTCAGAAGAATGGTTTAGCTTGAAGCACGGCGCTTGGCGTTCGCAAATTGTTGAAATTCTCACGAAGTTGTGCAGTATTATCTCGGCAGCTGTGATTAGCCAGCCGCACACAACAGTGTTGGAAAATGTGCGATAGCAGTGCGATTGCACGCTAATCGATAACTGATCGATAACAAAAGCTGCAACAACAAACTGACGCCTGTGCAGCCATTCGATGTTGTGTGTGTGTGTGTGTGTGTGTGTGTGACGTAACCAACAAACAGCTGTTCTCTAAACAGTGACCAGTGACTGGAACGCTGCCGCTTGGCAGGTGGGCAAACTAAATGCCACAGCTGCTGCCCCACCCCCCTCCCCGCCGGCCCGCTGCTGCCCTTGAGCGGAGGCCAGTGCAAAGCTCTCTGCTGCTGCCGCTGCTGCTGCTGCCGCTGCTGCTGCTGCTGCTGCTTCTGCTGCTGCTGCCGCTGCTGCTGCTGCTACTGTTGAAAAGCGCCTCGGCAAGTGCATTGAACTCGAAAGCGAGAAATTCTTATGCAAAAAACAGCAGAAAAAAAATCATGAAGAAAACAAAATAAAAAAAAAAGAGAAAAAAAAGAAAAGAAGAAAAAAACACTGCCAACGAACGTTTCAAAATTAAGGCAAACTTGCTGAGCAACGCTGACGTCGACGTCGACGTCGACGTCGATGTCGACTTCAAGTTGAGCTTCAGTTGTGGTCTTCACACAATTACATACAATATTATTATTTATTACTATTATTATTATTATTTTTATTACTTGTGTTAAATGTGGCCAGACAGGCGCCGTAATTTGAATATGGCTCGCCGTAGTCGTGTTGTGATGGATGCCACAAGAGCTGACAATGCTCCCCCCCCCCCCTTCCCTCCCCTCACCTACCCTCCACCCTCGACAGTAATTGCCCCCTTTTTTTCCCATAGACCGTATTGCCGCCTGTTTGTACTAAGTACTTGCCCCCACGCACTGAGACTCCACATTGGCTTAGAGTTTATTACTACTGCTATACACTTACCAGACGAGAATCTCAATTTGTGCATTGAGTGTGTCTTAATGTACTTAATATAATAACATAATTAATAGAAGTAATAAATATATGCACCAAACTTACAAAGTTAGTCATCTCAGATAGTCAAGCCAGACTAAACATTATGCGACGACTTTACTCGTTTTTTAATTAATTTCAAAGAAATCGTATAATTTTCTGAAAATTATTGTTTATTTTTTTTATATCTCCTTTACTGTACAAGAGTAAATATTGAATTGCTCTGCGTTTTAATCGTTTTTCTTAGTAAATTGGGGATTCATCATTACTCAACTCTGCATTTCATTAAACAAAAACTTAAATAAATCGAATATAATTTTTTCTTTGTTTACGATAAGAGTTTAATTCTTTGTTTATGGCAGGGTTTATGTGAAGATCAAACATTCTATCAACATCTTGCGCCCTTTATTATTGTTATATGTTTATATGGACTTTAATCTGATGACTATTTATTTACAATTCCTGTGTGACAAATCTTTTTCGCAGTTATTTTAGAAGAGTCATATTTACGCAGATTACTTTAAAGGGTATTTTTCATCGGATATTCGCAGATAACTCTTCTTTTGGTTTGACGTTTTTATTCTTTTTTTTTTTTTTTTTGGGGTCGTGTTGGGTCGTCTCATCTCCACATCTCTATCCCACTCTCCAATTCATCTCTCTCTACCTCTCTCTCTCTCTCTCTCTCTCTCGTTCTGTCGGTCTCTGCAAATTAAAACAGTTTTCCCTCGATTTTTTTTTTCATTTTTATTATTTATCTTGTTGTTGTTGTTGTTGTTACATTGTTATCGCATTCGCCGTCAAGAACGTGGAGGAACCGAAGTGAAACGAACTTTGAAATTTTTGCAGGGCCGCGCAACAAGTGAGCGCGAGAGCGACGAGAGGGTGGAGAGGGGCAAGGAGGTGGCGCAAAGGCGATGAGATTAAATTATTGAATCTGATGCGGGCAAGGCAAATGGGAGTTGTTGACGAGGAGACGAAGCGGACGTTAGTGTGAGGTGTGTGTGTGTGTGTGTGTGTGTGTGAGGGGGGGTAAGCAGTTACTTAGTTAAACTTGGTTGCCCATTGTCAGTTGTTGTTTTTGTAATTCTTTTCTTTTTTACTACTAATGCATACAGTTTTTCACAATTTTCCACACACAGCACACTGCAACAGACAAACGGCATTTGACGCAGTTGCAGTTGCTATTGCAGATGCATTTCTAATTTGTTAGTACCGCTGTCTTATTAGCAACACGCATGCGTGCAACACCAGCTACAGCAGCAGCAGCAGCAGCAGCAGCAGCAGCAGCAGCAGCGGCGGCAACAAACAAACAATTGTGGGTTTGCCAAGGGGTATGGCTGTGTTGGTGGGTTGGGGAGGAGGGCTCCTCTGTTTTTTTAGCTTTTGTCATTTTCTTGTGCTTTCTCGCTGCGCGCGCACACAAAAATGGTATTTTTTTTCATTGCGCCGCCTGAAAGCAGGCAATGGTTTTCCCCCGTTTTGCACAGTTAACATCGCCGCTCGTTGCTAGATGGCGCCAGTGTATATGCAATGAATATTGACTTGTGGCAATTAACTAAGGAACTCAATGAATATGAAGAGCCGATGCATTGACTACCACCACCTACTGATGACTAAGCTTATAAACCAAAAAAAAAACAGATGTTCGCTTATCATTTATGTACAAATGGTGATTTAAAGAACACCTTCCACTAAGATTACTTTTGTGAAGATTGAGCCTTTGTCATATCCATAGATCAACTATAGAATTCTATGATAGGTTTTGCTGTAACACTTTGCTCCCCAAATTATTTTTGTCTTTCTTGTTACTTTCTTGTATAGTTATCTAACATATATCTTTCGTCTCTCTCTCTCTCTCTCTCTCTCGCTATTTTGCAGAAACGGAGGGTGAACTGACACGCCTAATAAAAACGCTGCCTTGGGGACCGCTGTACTGTGTGCTGCAGCAGGACGATCAAACATTTACCGCCTACTGCAGCGAGGAGATTTCGGTGAGTAGCGAGTGGCAAGTCACACACAGCGTGCAGCAAATACGATAACGATAAGAGAGTGCTGGCCAACGAGTAGCGTGCTGCAAGTCGAGGCACGCTTATAAGTATATTTCTAATGGGTGCTGATTGGCGAATAACTTTTAGATGCGAATCGAAAATAGCCAGTGACAGGAGTAACGAGTAACGACTAGCAAGTAACGATAAACGTGTAGCGAGTGATGAGTAACCAAATACGACTAGCGAGACAGTTGCAAATGACGATTAGCGAATTAAAAATAACGATAAACTTGCTTACAAATAACGAATAGCAACGAACGTCTAGAAACGATGAAGAAATATTACTTACGAATGGACAGCAACGAGTAATGAGTAACGATAGAATATAAAGAATTTACGAATGCTTCAGTAATAAACGACGATCCAACTAGTAAGTAACGAGTAAAGTGTAACGTGCAATGTTTGGCGAGTGCAACATCGTATCTGTTAGCTGCATACCACTATATATACACATATTTGTACATATATACATGTATTCTATCGCTCATCGTATATGTATGTTGTGCATCTGTTTTGTATCTCTTTTCCCCACGCTCTCTCTCTCTCTCTCTCATTCTCTTGCACCCACTAACATGGACCATTAAACGCTACTAACTTGTAGATATTCCCGGCTACGCCCAAAAAGGAGCTAGAGGTGGGTAATGCTCAAACATACTAACTTACATATCAACTTACAATTCTAACTCAATTTCTGCCCATCTTGAAGTAAGTCAAACTATATTTTATTTATATATTATTTTTTTCTCGCTGCAACAGCTGGGCGATGTGTGCTATGAGGATATACCGCGAGTGCGACTCGATCGCGTCCGACGTCCGGCCAAGGCGCTGTGGGATGGTCCGCCCACACTGGCCGAGGAGAACGAGGACTCCGACTCGTGCCTGGGCTCTGGAATGAACGGCCTCAACGACATCGTGCTGAACACAACGCTCTACACTGATCTAGGTATGTATCAATTACAATTGACAAATAAAAAAAGAAGAAAACAATCTTAAACTTTTATTAGTTCTTAAAACATGCCCAGCTATGTGCAAAGTTCGTAAACTATAACTAATATAAAAAATATGCAAAATCAAGTAGCTTGCATAGGAAGTTACACAAAAAAACGTTGAAAAAAGCTTTAATGAGTATTTTGCACTTATAAAGTATTTTCCTTATTGGCGATTTTTATGGTTACAGGAAAGTATTTGCTTAAAAATTGCACAGCGAATTCGCAATATCAGTTGTACTTTGCTCTAAGCGAGCTCTTGGTGGGTGAGTAGGAGAGGGGGGGCTTATTGAGTTGACACCTTTTTGGACTGGCATTTTGCGGTGTTAACCCCAACCCCTTCCGTTAGCTGTTGCGGTCAAGAGATGCCTTAATTGCATTGACCTACGACTTGGGTGCATCGGTAATTGCGAGTTTTGTCGTTGTTGTTGTTGTTGTTATTGTTGTTGTTATTGTTGTTGTTGTCGTGTTGGTTGAGGCTCTGTTACCGATCATATCATTACCCCCCTCACTGCCCCCCAACACCGCCTCCCGCATCAACTGTCTGTGTGTGAGAAGGCACTCAGGAAATTTGTTTGTATCGTCGTCCGTCACGCTTGCCAGCACATTGAGCACAATAGCAACACAGAAAGAGAGAGACAGAGACAGAGACAGACACAGAGATAGAGAGAGCAATAGATAAAGAGAGCGGCAGAGAGGAGGGGTGGGTGGCAGCTGTGTACACCCGACACACGGCAACACAATGCCGAGCTGCTCGCTGTGAATGATGACAATTCACGCGCGATTGAGCAGAGCTGCCCAGGCGACAAAAAATTGGTTGCCTTAAAGCCAATCAGGCTTTAAAAATAGATTTGATTGATTTACATTTGGCATTTTTCTCTATGTCCTTGTTGGTCTCTCTATATTCGCATCAAATTGTGCGAATTTGCCAAGCGGAATGCTTGGAATTTGAAACATTTAGTTACACACTAAACGCATTTGCATATTTCAATTTGAATTTGAATTTGAATTTGTAATGCAAATCAAGTGAACACATAGAAGAGGAGTGTACTCGACTGGGAGATACACTCGCTCTGCAATACACTGTATTTTATATGGCATGGCCAAGTTGGTTTTGTATTTACATCGATACTTTGATACCCATTGTAGGTTGGTACGAACACGCCTAAAATGCCATATTTAATGTTTAGTTATCGTTATCGGTTATCGGTTCATGTTATTTGGAAATTGATTATTACCTTCATTTCCTTCTTAAGCGTTGCACACGCTTTCATTCGTTCATTCATTCATTCATTTGCTCAATTGCTGGTCAATCATTGATAGTTTGATGTTGGGGTTATTTGTTGTTGCTGCTAATGTTGCTAATGGCTCAGTATCAAGGCAGTTTGTGTTGCTATTGCTGCTGCTGTTGCTTGGCCAATTCAAATCTAAATAGCCACTGAAGCGGAGACTGCGCAGGCGTCGCTGCTCGACACCAAAACTGAAATGCAATTAAAACTGCGATTAGCTCAGCTTACTTATTGCTGCTGCTGCTTCTTCTTGCGTTTACCTCTTTTGCTGCTGCTGCTGCTGCTGCTGGTGCTTCTTCTTATAGTACTACTTTTTCTTGCTGCAAATGTAAACAAAGTACACAACAGCAACAGCAACAAGAACACCGAAAACACTTGCAACGCTTTGTGCGTTTGCAACTTTGTTTCGGCTGCCAAACCGTTCCATCAATGAACCGAGAACACTGACCGAGCGCGAGAGCGAGAGAGGAGAGAGAGAGAGAGAGAGCGCGCGATTGGCTGGCAGAGAGTCAGTGCGAGCACACAAACGTGTCTCATTTCCGTTGCGTTTCATTTCATTGCAAGTCAATGCACAGTGGGTCAAATGTGCTCGAACTGTGCGTCAACTGTAGTTGGTTGTTTATTTGACTAAATAAATTCGCACACAAATTATTTAGTTGATGAAATAAATACTTAGTATGAGCATGATTGATATTCAGTTAGTAACAACTAAACGATAAACAATAAGAAGTTGCTGTGTGCCTCATTCATACTTCATAAATATGTATCAAATTGTTATTTATACATTTCACTTATAAGAAAGATGAGTACAGAACTGTTTAAATTTCAACTTGAATTTTGTTGCATGCTTTCTTTAGCAGCGTTCCACTGTGCCTAGATTATGGCCAGCTTTGGCGCTGCTGTCTTGCTCTTGCTGCGTTTCGGTTCGGTTCGATTCGTTTCAGTCCACTTTAAGCTTCCGGCGCAGGCGGTTGGGTTCGCTACTCGTTCGTCAGAACTCGCTTCGGTGTGTGTTATTTTATTATTTTTTTTTTTTTGTGTTTTGAGCACTTGCTGTTTAGTTTTTAGTGTTTTTTGTTTTTGTTTTGGTTTTTTCTCTCTCTCTCTCACTCTCTGTTGCGCTCGATTCACAGCTGAGTGGCGGCTGTTTTTTTTTATTATTATTATTATTTTTTTTTTACGACCAGTCTAAACAAATTTCCATAACACATATTTTTCAATTTTGTTATTGTGGGTGAATGATAAATTGCTGAGCGCAATATTTTTGTATTCGGTTGGAAAATATTTTGTAAAACTATGCGCGCCGCGGCGCGTTGCGAATTCGAAATGAAATGTTCTAAAAATAAAATTCAAACAACAAACAAACACACAACTAAAACCAAAACAACTAAAACAAAAACAAATCAACATACGAGTCGAGGCGAGGCGCACACAGCCCCCGAAAAACTGAGCGAAAAATCGCCAGTTCAAAACTGGGCAACAACAAAAACAACAGCAGCAACACACAAACACACACAGATACACACACAGACACACGCACACACAGCTCATCATCTTCAACCTCATCATCTGGGCTATAAATTTAGCAAAAGCAACGGAACCAAATTGTTCTACAAAGGAAAACGTATCAAAAACTGAAGAAAAAGAAACAAAAAAAAAAAAAACAAAAACGCCCACAAACGCATGCGGCGCGATTTTTGTGCGCGTTTCTCAAAAAAAAAAAAAAAAAAAAACGTCAAGTGAAAGAAAAGTGCAAAATGAAAGACAAAGCAAAGAAAAGAATAACAGAATAAAACTTGTGTGTAAAATGTAAAACTGAATTAGGGAAATGAGCGCTTGACACCAATACACCAATACACCAAGCAATGCAGGCATAGCGACGGCAATGGGTGAAGTTGCTGATGGATGGGGTGGGGCAGGGGGCAGGGGGCATGGGCATTCTAAAGGCGGGGCAGCTGAGCGAAGCGCCCAAAAAGGTGGCCAAAAGACACCGGAAAGTCAATGTCTGTTTTTGTCGCCGCTGGCTGCTTGCTGCTTGCAGGTTGCTGGTTGCTGCTGGTGTTAGTGTAAACCGTTTATAACCGCTAGAAGCACATCCGGATTAGCATTTCATACGAGACAAGTTTTGGTGAAAAGGGGCAGCGTGGGGGGGGGGGGGGAGGGGTGGCGTGTTTGTCTATAGGCCTATGCAAATCAGAATGCCAAATTGTGTTGGTCAACTATGTCAGACGCATTTGGCCAAGTTAACAGCGCGCACACACAAAAACCGCTTAAAAGAAAGCGAAAAAAAAAACAACGAGAATTGGTGTAAAAAGCAAAAGCTTAAAAATCGCGCCAATTGACACCAATTAATTAATTTGATGCACATGACCCACATTTTATTTATAACAACAACTGCCAATCTAAATATAAAAATGAAAACAACAACAGCAACAACAACAACAACAACAAACAAACAAAACTGCATAAATACGCATTTTATGCATTTGGCCATTGTTGTTATTGTTTGTTGTTGTTGTTGACGCTGTGCGCTTGGCAAAACTTTCTTTTCTTTTTTTTTAGTTGTTGTTGTTGTTGTTTAGTTGTGCGCATAGAAATAATTGAAAATACGTGTGTATCTTAAATGCATTAATCAAATGCACTAGTGCAACACCACACCACACCGCATTGCCTCCCCTTTGCGCCCCTTCCCCTTGGCTATAGGCGCCGAGGCAACGCTGCGTGAGAGCTGCGAGATTGTCCCAAAAGACAACAGATAACAACAACAACAACAACAACAAAAACAACAATTGCAACCACAGCAAAAAATTCAAGTTTTAACTAGACAACTCAACACACTCTCTCTCTCTCTCGCTAACCCTCTCTATCTCCCCATCTCTCTCTCTCTCTCTCATTTGATTGCACTCTTTTGCAACAGCTTTTGCACTTTTATTTTAAGAAGTTATTGCCCCAGACTTAAACGAACTTAATCTGATAATATTCAAGATGAAACTGTTTCCAAACTTTTATTTTATTTTAATTTCATTAAATGTAGTTTCATAAATGTTGTTTTAACTTGTCCCAAAACCCTTGAAACTACCTTGTTTGAGCACGAGTTACGTAAACCGATATTATTATTCCATATATATATATATATCGATAGCGATTAACAAAAAGAAGTTTTAAATCAATTTATCAATCAATCTTTTCTGCTTATTCCGAGATAAACTTGAACAATATCTGCCAATTGGTAATAAATAAATTGTTTCTGGTCTTTAAGACTGACTGACAAATTAACTGATAGTTTGTGTTCTTTTTTAAATATATTGTTTTTGATTAGCAATATATTCGTCACTTTTTTACGATACTCTATTTTATATTATTCTTGTGATAGATGCATAAATTGAATTGATGGCCGTTGTTTATCATCATAGCTCATATTCCAATTGTGCTCAATTCTATTCTCAATTGTACAATAATCCAACTTTATTTCACCAAATATATACATCACTATTCATATTTGATCGGTAATAAAACGTTTCGAATTTCGTTACTAGTTTTGAGTTTCAAATCGGTTAATTTCGGTTTGATTTCCTGTCACAATAAAAGGGAATGTTGACTTTTAGTTCCGTTTCTGGTTCTGAATTGCAATTCGGTTAATTTCGGTAGCTGGTTCCGGTTCCGGTTTGATTGCCCTGCTTTCGTGTGATGTCACGCACCAAAGTTCTTTTGAAATCTTCCCAAAAACTATCTATTCTGTAGTATTATGCGATTACCGTTCAGGTCTTTATATGATGAATCCTTCGATATTCTTTGAGCTTATTATTATTATCATTATTATTTTCTCAATAATTTGATGATGATGATTATTATTATTGTTTATTTGCACTTGATGCATGCTTAGTCGCTTAAAGCCCACTCTGAAAATACTCTAACGTTTTTTTGGTTTTGTTTCTGGACTTTTCAAAACGCCAATAGAAACAATGGGTGCTCCCTTTGTTTGGTG